TCAGACATCAGCCTGCGCACCCCTGCCACCTCAGACATCAGCCTGCGCACCCCTGCCACCTCAGACATCAGCCTGCGCACCCCTGCCACCTCAGACATCAGCCTGCGCACCCCTGCCACCTCAGACATCAGCCTGCGCACCCCTGCCACCTCAGACATCAGCCTGCGCACCCCTGCCACCTCAGACATCAGCCTGCGCACCCCTGCCACCTCAGACATCAGCCTGCGCACCCCTGCCACCTCAGACATCAGCCTGCGCACCCCTGCCACCTCAGACATCAGCCTGCGCACCCCTGCCACCTCAGACATCAGCCTGCGCACCCCTGCCACCTCAGACATCAGCCTGCGCACCCCTGCCACCTCAGACATCAGCCTGCGCACCCCTGCCACCTCAGACATCAGCCTGCGCACCCCTGCCACCTCAGACATCAGCCTGCGCACCCCTGCCACCTCAGACATCAGCCTGCGCACCCCTGCCACCTCAGACATCAGCCTGCGCACCCCTGCCACCTGGGACATCAGCCTGCGCACCCCTGCCACCTGGGACATCAGCCTGCGCACCCCTGCCACCTGGGACATCAGCCTGCGCACCCCTGCCACCTCAGACATCAGCCTGCGCACCCCTGCCACCTCAGACATCAGCCTGCGCACCCCTGCCACCTGGGACATCAGCCTGCGCACCCCTGCCACCTGGGACATCAGCCTGCGCACCCCTGCCACCTCAGACATCAGCCTGCGCACCCCTGCCACCTCAGACATCAGCCTGCGCACCCCTGCCACCTCAGACATCAGCCTGCGCACCCCTGCCACCTGGGACATCAGCCTGCGCACCCCTGCCACCTCAGACATCAGCCTGCGCACCCCTGCCACCTCAGACATCAGCCTGCGCACCCCTGCCACCTGGGACATCAGCCTGCGCACCCCTGCCACCTCAGACATCAGCCTGCGCACCCCTGCCACCTCAGACATCAGCCTGCGCACCCCTGCCACCTCAGACATCAGCCTGCGCACCCCTGCCACCTCAGACATCAGCCTGCGCACCCCTGCCACCTCAGACATCAGCCTGCGCACCCCTGCCACCTCAGACATCAGCCTGCGCACCCCTGCCACCTCAGACATCAGCCTGCGCACCCCTGCCACCTCAGACATCAGCCTGCGCACCCCTGCCACCTCAGACATCAGCCTGCGCACCCCTGCCACCTCAGACATCAGCCTGCGCACCCCTGCCACCTCAGACATCAGCCTGCGCACCCCTGCCACCTCAGACATCAGCCTGCGCACCCCTGCCACCTCAGACATCAGCCTGCGCACCCCTGCCACCTCAGACATCAGCCTGCGCACCCCTGCCACCTCAGACATCAGCCTGCGCACCCCTGCCACCTCAGACATCAGCCTGCGCACCCCTGCCACCTCAGACATCAGCCTGCGCACCCCTGCCACCTCAGACATCAGCCTGCGCACCCCTGCCACCTCAGACATCAGCCTGCGCACCCCTGCCACCTCAGACATCAGCCTGCGCACCCCTGCCACCTCAGACATCAGCCTGCGCACCCCTGCCACCTCAGACATCAGCCTGCGCACCCCTGCCACCTCAGACATCAGCCTGCGCACCCCTGCCACCTCAGACATCAGCCTGCGCACCCCTGCCACCTCAGACATCAGCCTGCGCACCCCTGCCACCTCAGACATCAGCCTGCGCACCCCTGCCACCTCAGACATCAGCCTGCGCACCCCTGCCACCTCAGACATCAGCCTGCGCACCCCTGCCACCTCAGACATCAGCCTGCGCACCCCTGCCACCTCAGACATCAGCCTGCGCACCCCTGCCACCTGGGACATCAGCCTGCGCACCCCTGCCACCTGGGACATCAGCCTGCGCACCCCTGCCACCTGGGACATCAGCCTGCGCACCCCTGCCACCTGGGACATCAGCCTGCGCACCCCTGCCACCTGGGACATCAGCCTGCGCACCCCTGCCACCTGGGACATCAGCCTGCGCACCCCTGCCACCTCAGACATCAGCCTGCGCACCCCTGCCACCTCAGACATCAGCCTGCGCACCCCTGCCACCTGGGACATCAGCCTGCGCACCCCTGCCACCTGGGACATCAGCCTGCGCACCCCTGCCACCTCAGACATCAGCCTGCGCACCCCTGCCACCTCAGACATCAGCCTGCGCACCCCTGCCACCTGGGACATCAGCCTGCGCACCCCTGCCACCTCAGACATCAGCCTGCGCACCCCTGCCACCTCAGACATCAGCCTGCGCACCCCTGCCACCTCAGACATCAGCCTGCGCACCCCTGCCACCTCAGACATCAGCCTGCGCACCCCTGCCACCTCAGACATCAGCCTGCGCACCCCTGCCACCTCAGACATCAGCCTGCGCACCCCTGCCACCTCAGACATCAGCCTGCGCACCCCTGCCACCTCAGACATCAGCCTGCGCACCCCTGCCACCTCAGACATCAGCCTGCGCACCCCTGCCACCTCAGACATCAGCCTGCGCACCCCTGCCACCTCAGACATCAGCCTGCGCACCCCTGCCACCTCAGACATCAGCCTGCGCACCCCTGCCACCTCAGACATCAGCCTGCGCACCCCTGCCACCTCAGACATCAGCCTGCGCACCCCTGCCACCTCAGACATCAGCCTGCGCACCCCTGCCACCTCAGACATCAGCCTGCGCACCCCTGCCACCTCAGACATCAGCCTGCGCACCCCTGCCACCTCAGACATCAGCCTGCGCACCCCTGCCACCTCAGACATCAGCCTGCGCACCCCTGCCACCTCAGACATCAGCCTGCGCACCCCTGCCACCTCAGACATCAGCCTGCGCACCCCTGCCACCTCAGACATCAGCCTGCGCACCCCTGCCACCTCAGACATCAGCCTGCGCACCCCTGCCACCTCAGACATCAGCCTGCGCACCCCTGCCACCTCAGACATCAGCCTGCGCACCCCTGCCACCTCAGACATCAGCCTGCGCACCCCTGCCACCTCAGACATCAGCCTGCGCACCCCTGCCACCTCAGACATCAGCCTGCGCACCCCTGCCACCTCAGACATCAGCCTGCGCACCCCTGCCACCTCAGACATCAGCCTGCGCACCCCTGCCACCTCAGACATCAGCCTGCGCACCCCTGCCACCTCAGACATCAGCCTGCGCACCCCTGCCACCTCAGACATCAGCCTGCGCACCCCTGCCACCTCAGACATCAGCCTGCGCACCCCTGCCACCTCAGACATCAGCCTGCGCACCCCTGCCACCTCAGACATCAGCCTGCGCACCCCTGCCACCTCAGACATCAGCCTGCGCACCCCTGCCACCTCAGACATCAGCCTGCGCACCCCTGCCACCTCAGACATCAGCCTGCGCACCCCTGCCACCTCAGACATCAGCCTGCGCACCCCTGCCACCTCAGACATCAGCCTGCGCACCCCTGCCACCTCAGACATCAGCCTGCGCACCCCTGCCACCTCAGACATCAGCCTGCGCACCCCTGCCACCTCAGACATCAGCCTGCGCACCCCTGCCACCTCAGACATCAGCCTGCGCACCCCTGCCACCTCAGACATCAGCCTGCGCACCCCTGCCACCTCAGACATCAGCCTGCGCACCCCTGCCACCTCAGACATCAGCCTGCGCACCCCTGCCACCTCAGACATCAGCCTGCGCACCCCTGCCACCTCAGACATCAGCCTGCGCACCCCTGCCACCTCAGACATCAGCCTGCGCACCCCTGCCACCTCAGACATCAGCCTGCGCACCCCTGCCACCTCAGACATCAGCCTGCGCACCCCTGCCACCTGGTAACAGGACGACGAACATGCATATGGCACCTGATGGGGCGTGGTGTGGGTAAGTTACTGTGTTACCCACCTGGTCCAGCATGACTCCCACCTGGTCCAGCATGACTCCCACCTGGTCCAGCATGACTCCCACCTGGTCCAGCATGACTCCCACCTGGTCCAGCATGACTCCCACCTGGTCCAGCATGACTCCCACCTGGTCCAGCATGACTCCCACCTGGTCCAGCATGACTCCCACCTGGTCCAGCATGACTCCCACCTGGTCCAGCATGACTCCCACCTGGTCCAGCATGACTCCCACCTGGTCCAGCATGACTCCCACCTGGTCCAGCATGACTCCCACCTGGTCCAGCATGACTCCCACCTGGTCCAGCATGACTCCCACCTGGTCCAGCATGACTCCCACCTGGTCCAGCATGACTCCCACCTGGTCCAGCATGACTCCCACCTGGTCCAGCATGACTCCCACCTGGTCCAGCATGACTCCCACCTGGTCCAGCATGACTCCCACCTGGTCCAGCATGACTCCCACCTGGTCCAGCATGACTCCCACCTGGTCCAGCATGACTCCCACCTGGTCCAGCATGACTCCCACCTGGTCCAGCATGACTCCCACCTGGTCCAGCATGACTCCCACCTGGTCCAGCATGACTCCCACCTGGTCCAGCATGACTCCCACCTGGTCCAGCATGACTCCCACCTGGTCCAGCATGACTCCCACCTGGTCCAGCATGACTCCCACCTGGTCCAGCATGACTCCCACCTGGTCCAGCATGACTCCCACCTGGTCCAGCATGACTCCCACCTGGTCCAGCATGACTCCCACCTGGTCCAGCATGACTCCCACCTGGTCCAGCATGACTCCCACCTGGTCCAGCATGACTCCCACCTGGTCCAGCATGACTCCCACCTGGTCCAGCATGACTCCCACCTGGTCCAGCATGACTCCCACCTGGTCCAGCATGACTCCCACCTGGTCCAGCATGACTCCCACCTGGTCCAGCATGACTCCCACCTCACCTGGTCCAGCATGACTCCCACCTGGTCCAGCATGACTCCCACCTGGTCCAGCATGACTCCCACCTGGTCCAGCATGACTCCCACCTGGTCCAGCATGACTCCCACCTGGTCCAGCATGACTCCCACCTGGTCCAGCATGACTCCCACCTGGTCCAGCATGACTCCCACCTGGTCCAGCATGACTCCCACCTGGTCCAGCATGACTCCCAGGATGCCCAAGTCCACCACCAGGCTGGGCGGAGGGAAGGCAGCAGAGGGATGAGAGGCGCTAAGTGGGCAATAAGACGAGCAGGAAAGCAGGCACGCACGCAAGAAGGCATTCGGGCAAGGAAGTAAGGAAGAACGGAGTTACGGGGTCAAGGGAGCAAGGAGGCGAGGGAGCAACGGAGCAAACGGGCAAGGGAGCAACGGAATAGCGGAGCAATGGACCAAGCGAGCAAGGGAGCAAGGGAGCAACGAGAGAGGAATGCGAGGAGGCGAGGGAACAAGGGAGCGAGGGAGCAAGGAGTGAGAATGCAAAGAGGCAAGGGAGCAAGCAGCAAGGGAGCAAGGAGAGAGGAATGCGAGGAGGCGCGGGAGCGGGGCGCACGGGGCGGCGAGGCGGAAGAAGCCTTCATCCTTCTTGGGCAGCAGCAGCTTGTTCTGCACGCTCCACCCCGCCCCCACGAAGAACATCACCACTCCCTTGTGCGCCCTGCTCATGCGGTCCGGTGCCTGCCCGGCATGGCGCGTGGAGGGGAGAGATGGAATGTGGCACATGATATGATATGATATGATATGATATGATATCAGGTCATCAATTCATATAATACTACACGAAATGCAACACATCATGAGAATCATATCACAAGACATCGTATTTTATCAACACATATAAATCGAATTATCACATGACCTCGGATCAAGTGTCGCCACATATACATCAAATTATCACATGACCTCGGATCAAGTGTCGCCACAATACATCAAATTATCACATGACCTCGGATCAAGTGTCGCCACAATACATCAAATTATCACATGACCTCAGATCAAGTGTCGCCACAATACACCAAATTATCACATGACCTCGGAGCAAGTGTCGCCACAAGACATCAAATTATCACATGACCTCGGATCAAGTGTCGCCACAATACATCAAGGGCACGAAAGAGGTCAGGGGAGAAGGGGGGGACGAGGGCAGGGAAGAGGACAGGGGACGGGACAGGGGAGGGGGCAGGGGAGAGGGCAGGTACCTACCATGAGAGTCATGAAGTGCCACCAGACGTGGCGGTTGGTGGCGGACCTATTGAGCCAGCGGTGCAGCGTCACCTCCAGAATGTACCCCGTCCACCTCCCCCCCTTCTCCCGCCCGCGCATGCGCTGCCCCGTGTCCTTCCATCTGCTCGCGGGGGGGGGGGGGGGCGGGGGGGGGGGGGGGGGGGGGGACGGGGGGGAGGGAGGAGGGGGGGGAGGGGGGGAGGGGGGGGAGGGGAAAAAGGGGGAAAAAGGGGGGGAAAGGGGAAGCGGGGAAGGGATGGGGTGTGGCGAAAAGGGGGGAGAGGGAGGGTAGGCCATGGGGAGGCGTTGAGCCAGCGGTGCAGCGTCACCTCCAGAATGTACCCCGTCCACCGCCCCCTCTTATCGCGCCCGCGCATGCGCTGCTCCTTGTCCTTCCATCTGCTCGCGAGGGGGGGAGTGGGGAGGGGGGGAAGGGGGTTGGGTGAGGGAGGGAGGGAGGGAGGGAGGGAGGGAGGGAGGGAGGGAGGGAGGGAGGGAGGGAGGGAGGGAAGGAGGGAGGGAGGGAGGGAAGGAGGGGGAGGAGTAAGAGCGTGCGAGAGCAGTAACGCGTGGGGAGGGAGGCGGTGCGTGGGGGAAGCGGCGCGTGGGACAGCGACCGGGGTCAGCGGTGGAGGGGACAGCGGCGCGTGGGGACAGCAGCGCGGGGGGACGCGGCGCGTGGGATCAGCGGCGCGAGGGGAATGCAGCGCCGCCGGGCGCCGCCCTCATACGTGGTTCAGGGGCCCCCGGAGCGGCAAGCACAGGGGTGGGCACACACATTAAAAACCCGAAAGAAGCCTTGAAGGAGCTCCGAGAAGCTTCGACGAGTCGCGCACCTGAACTCCGCGTCGTGTTTGAGGTACACGTGTCGGTCCAGCAGCGTCCCCGTGCAGTTGCGCGCCGTCTCGCACCCGCTCTGCGGCAGCGCCGTCGCCTGCCGCTCAGGCGCCGCGGGACGGAATAAGAACGCGGGACGCGTCAGCAGCGCTAATACGTAGACGAAGGAGAGCACTATAGCGAGTACGACCAACCGACCCAGGAATCTAGAGAGGCCGCGGGGAAGGTGGCGGTGCGGCCGGGCGGCACTGGGATCGTGCGGGCGCGACATTTGGCGCTGCGAGTGTTTTGTCAGGTAAAGCACCTCTTCCTTTCGTGAAATGTTTCTACCCATCACCGAACCCAGGCGCTCCTATCCTATCACTCTCAGTACTGTACATCGGGGTCGGATCGGTCGGTAGTCCTACCCGGTACACGTGCTGCCGGTGGAGCGATGCAGCTCGTTACTGTAACAGGTAGCACCTGAACAGTGGATTACGGCCAAGCTCAGAAATTCGGGACCAATTCTACACGTGGGAACTCGCCAGGTGTTTAGGGTTGACCCCTCCCCGAGCCCTTTCCGTTTGCCAGCAGTACCGGAACTGTAGTGGGTGCGCTTGACTTGACACGGGTCAAACTTCGCTTAGGGCGCGTGTCTTTTGATGTAGAGGTTCGGAAATTCGGTTGAACTTAAAAGGTAACCCTTTTCGCGAATGTCGCCATTTGTTTCGCTTGTGCATCGTGTGTCCTAGTTCAGCATTGTAGATGAAGTAGTACACTAAACCTGGGTTGATCTTTCTGCTCAAACCATGCGTGAACGAAAATTCGCTCGGGTGTCCTTTTGACAATACACTAGGTATTTGCGAAATTGACGACAGTCGCAGCACATGTTGTTCGCACGAGCGACTTCAGAAAATAGTGTTCCGGGTAACCTACGAGGGCTGGCCGCGACTCGGGAAAGCTCATCTTCGATAGTTGAGCTTTCGTGTGCTGTGATATTTGTGAGTTGAGGAGCAGTGACTCGGGCTACAGCTGCCGATATTGTCGAGCCTAGGTCGACCTAGGTTCAACTGTGGATAGTTCAGCCAAAAACTCGAGTTTTGCACATAAATTTCAAAAAGATACGCGCCCTTACAGTACACTGTCTGGGTGAATGTGACACGTGGGTGAATGTGGCACCAGAGTTCTGTGTTGTTGCCATAATGTTCCTGTCGGAGTGGCAGAGTGGCGGAAAGTGCCCGCAACTAGCACTGTAGTCCCCTTGAAAGCGCAGGGTCGCTAGTAGTACCCCTGCGAAAGCTACTTACCCAATAAACAACTTGTGAACTGGAAGTGAACCAGACTGGCCCTGAAGTGAACATACAGCCACACGAGTGAAAAGCTGATCACAACCAGGGCTGTCAATTGGTCTGGGTCCAAACCAAACCACTTCGTTGTCCGAACGTATTTCGGCACCCTCGGAAACGCGATATTAGTATGCTCGTTATAGAACTGGGCACATTTACTAGAAGCGAAATGGTTACACGCCCTTTTTATATTCCACTATCGGGTAGTACAGTTTCTTGGCATTCCCTTGTTCACAACTTTCCCCAAACCCTTCTCCCCAGACCCAACAATCATCTCCCTCGCACCCCGCCATCCCATACCACCGATCTAGCCATCGCCTCTCTCACCCACCCCGCCGTCACCTCTCCCTCTCACCCCTCCGTCGCCTCTCCCTTTCGTCCTGCCGTCGCCTCCCCCTTAGCCCGCCGTCGCCTTCCCGCCGTCGCCTCCCCTTCCCATCCCGCCGTCGCCTCCCCCTCCCATCCCGTCGTCGCCTCCCCCTCTCATCCCGTCGTTGCCGCTGGCGACAGCTGCACGAGCGTGACTTGGCGGGCGAGCGCGGGTTGGTCTCTCGGGTGCCTTGATTTTCCTCACTTTCTTACATATTTCGTAGGTTCTGTGTTTCAATTGGTTTCCTCTTGCGTTGCTCTTCCATTCAATGAAGGGGAGAGAGGTAGCGCGAGGGAGAGCGAGTACGGGAGCGAGCACGCAGGAGAGTGCGCGTGAGAGCGAGTACGGGAGGGAACACGCAGGAGAGCGCATGTGAGTGCGAAGAAAGAGCTCGAGGGAGCGAGGGAGGGAACACCAAGAGCGTGTGGGAGGGAGAGGCGGGAGAGAGAGCACCGTGGGTGCCATAATTTTTCGACTAAGCTAAGCGCCCGTGGGTGTCATATCATTACCCTTGAGTTTATGCCGTGGAGAAAACCTCTGCTGGCTCTTGCACCATCAGCAGCACCCGTTTTGCCATTCTCAACCCCTCAACCCATCAACCCCCCAACCCCTCAACCCCCCAACCCCTCAATAACCCCTTAACCCATCAACCCCTCAACCCCCCAACCCCTCAACTCCTCAACCCCCCAACCCCTCAACTCCTCAACCCCCCAACCCCTCAACTCCTCAACCCCCCAACCCCTCAAGCCCCCAACCCCTTTACTCCTTAACACCCCAACCCCTCAACCCCCCAACCCTCCAACCCCTCAACTCCTCAACCCCCTCCAAAATCTTCACTCGCTGATGAAACAGGTCTGTGAGTACACCGAGTACACAGAGCAAGCGAGGAGGATGGTCGATACCAAGGTATCGGCCGATGCAGGGTCTCAAGGCGAAAAAGGCGGGGGAAAGGGAAGCGGCGAGAAGGCCTTGAGTGAGAAAGCGCAGGCACGGAAGCGGGCGAAGCTGGAGAGGCTAAAGAAGAAACTGGCGCAAAAGAAAGCAGCCAAGCGTGGACCTGGCAGCGAAGAGGCAGGCGAGGCGGCAGGGGGGCCAACGGCCGTAGGGAATGGGCGTGGGGACGAGGAGAGGGAAGGGAAGCGGAGGCGCATGGTGAAGCACCCCATGCGAGTGGCGGGGCAGCGGCCAGGCGAGCAGTGCTTCTCGTGTGGCGCCGCAAACCACGCCGCCAAGGATTGCCCAAAACGAAAGGAGCGCAAAGTGTCCAAGGTCAGTGCTCGTCGCTGCGTCTCTCTCCTCCACCTCCACCTTGCCCTCGCCTTCCGGCGTCTACTGAAGTAAGCGTAAGATCTACTGCCATGACGTTCTACTGTCCTCCGTACTCCACGACGTTCGCCGCCCTGCTTCCTTCCCTCCTTCACCCCCTGCATGACTCGCTCCGTCCCTCCTTCTCTCTCGCTATTTCCCATCCGTACGCGCACGGTGTCCTGCCAGGCGTGTCTCTTCTGCCGGCAGTGGGGCCATGTGGTCAGCGAGTGCCCGCGAGCTGCCTCGGCGTCCGCGCCCGCTGTGCCGCAGCCGCCAGGCGCCTCTGGCGACCTGGGGACGGGGGAAGCAGCATTCGAGGGAGAAGGGCGTGGGCAAGACGACAAGAGTGCGGGCGGCACAGAGGGGCTGGGAGTGGGGTTGTGCTACAACTGCGGCTCCACGCGCCATCGCCTGCACAACTGCCCTTTGCCGCGAGCCAACGGTACGTGCTGAAGGTTGTTGGTACTTGGTAATTGGGTTCGCTGCCCATGCTGCTCGTCGCCTGCGGACCATTGGGCGGTGGCGGTGGCGGTGGCGGTGGCGGTGGAGGGTGGATGCCGCTGCATCCGGTGAATACCCTTCCATCTGTGATCATGCGCCACTCGTGTGCATCAGCAACCCCCATCAGCAACCCCCAGCGCTCTTGTGGCCCCCACGCATGGCTGACTTGCCCATGGGTTGTGCTGTGATGCTGGGTTGTGGTTGGCGTTGCAGGCGGAGCAGCACATGCGGTGTGCTTTGTGTGCCAGCAGAAGGGCCATCTCAGCCGTGACTGTCCACAGAACCCCAACGGCCTCTATCCCAAGGTGCTCTTCATTCACATCATTTCCTCTCCAAGTCTTGCAAAGGCTGCTTGTTCTTCGTGATGTTTATTTTGCAGTTCCCCCTGTTTGTTTTGTTTATGTGCACACTTTGGTTCTTTTTGTTGTTGCTGGCGATGTAACAATCGAGTTGGGTGTATGGCATGGCACTTGTGTGTTGTGCGTGTGCGCATGTCTTTCGCACATCCTTCAGGGCGGGTGTTGTCGCATGTGTGGACTCAAGACACATCTCGCTCGTGACTGTCCTTCCAAGCAAGCCGCTGCTACTTCTGCTGCTGCTCCTCCTGCTGCCAGCTCTGCGAAGGTGGAAGGGAACCAAGGCACCAGGAAGCCGCTAAACAGTGAGTTGACAACGCATTTGGTTGTGCTGTGTTTGTATCCCCATCCCGCACGCGGTCTCTTCCTTGTACAGCGTTCTGCTTGCTTTTGAACTGCCTCTATTACCGTTTCCATCCTAGATATTGAGCTCGTCTCCCCTCCCCTCCCTGCCATGCGCCCCCTCCCCTTCTTTCCACTCCTGCACTTTTTCTTTGAGGGTCCAAGATAAAAGGGTTTCTAGTTCTTTTTCCTTGCCATGTGTTTCCTTCCATTACCTGTCAGTTGGTAATGCGAGACTGACTGCATGGTGTGGCAACCATGCTGGATGTCACATTGCAACCATGCTGGATGTCACATTGCAACCATGCTGGATGTCACATTGCAACCATGCTGGATGTCACATTGCAACCAGGGCGCCGCATTAAGGTTCGTGTCTTCACTTGCACATGGTTCACTCCTCTGTGCTTCTGCCCCTGCTGTGTGCTTCGAGTGCGTGCAGGGCACCACATCTTTCCTGGAGGAGATGACTTGGGGGACGACTTTGGGGACGCCGTTTTGCAGCCACTGCAGGCGAAGCGGGGGGATCAGCAAGATGGGGAAGGTGGTGCTTTGGAGGATTTTGACGAAGCTCAAGGCAGCGATGATGAGTTGTTGATGGGGAACGAGAGCGCCGGTAGGCCAGGGAGGTTGGCGGGTCGGCGCTTCAGTGGCAGGAGGGGAGGGAGAGGCCGAGGCGGAGGTATTCATGCTGGTGGCAACAGGCGGCGCCAGGGAAAGGGATGGTGAACACGGACTGTGCAAAATGTTTAGAAAAGATGTAGGTAATGAGAATGTCTAGTTTAGATTGTCGCAGTTACTGTCAAAGTACTAGCAGCAGAATGAAATGTCTAGCAAGGGTTGAGATGCATAGGCAACCCTAAAAGGGTTGTACCTCTAGAGTGTGCCTCACGGTAACCTACGGTAACAAGCAAATATATCATTTGACAAGATGGCCTATGGTATGGTGATGTTTGGAGCCTGCACTCAAAATTTCGAAATACAGAACCTGTCAACAGAGTTTTGTGGGGTAAAACATGAATGACCTAGGTATGGTGCATGCATTTCAAATGCAGGCTAAAAACTCTATCCTGAAATGAAACAGTACAATCAGTGTGTTCAAAGGACAAGCCTGTCCAGGTTCAGAGGACAAGCCTGTCCAGGTTCAGAGGACAAGCCTGTCGAGGTAAATATCTAAAGCGTCAATGATTTTCACCAGAAACTTCTTTCGATCCATGCGGTACCTGCATGTGGGCACATTGGACGAGGAACCGAACCATTAGCCACAATGAGTGGGACACGGAAGGAAGGTATAAAATGCTACAGATGGTTCATGCTATGTACAGTTTTCATAAATGCAACAGTGCCAAGCATCGGAGCACTTGGGAGCAACGAGTATGAGAGTACATACTTGATGGCAGCCCACCAGCGTGCTGATTTATCCTCTGCTCCCTCCGACTCTGCTCAAAACAGTCCACAAGGCAGGTGAGAAGAGGCAAGTGGGAGAGAACGGATGGGAGAGCAGTGAGCTGATAGCAGGCCACCACCGCCACCTTGCAGACTTGTCCTCTGTGCCTCTGATTCTGCTCCAAGTGAGCCATGAGAAGGTGAGAGCGACGGAGGACGGAGGGATGATGGGAAGGCAGGCTCAAAGGAGAAATGCACTGTGACATCGCCTAAGAGCGCTGAAACAACAGTTTTGCTAATGTAACACCGAATGGAACTACTGGCACCATCCCCCCCCCCCACTTTGTAGTCATTCGTGACCGGTATTTTGAGGCGTCTCAAGAATGGCCTCACATGTGAGGCGGCTCAAAAGCCACCTCGTAGGCATTCACAGCCCTTTCCTGACCCGTGACCTCCCTGCGACTGCTCAACCTGCCATGCAGCAGCCCCCTTTCGTGACTCTCGTGCGTAACTACTCGGGATATATTATAAGAAAATAAGATTTCAACCTAACTCAGCCTCAAAGCTTTCCTTTCTTCGCGAGGTTTGTGGGAACGCTCCCAGCTGCTTCCAGCACTGTCAGTTGCTTCCGACCCTTGTGCTTCACTGCCAGACTACCCTAGAAGAAAAAGGGTTCTGAGGCAACTCACCCAGCAGCACTGCCTCATCCTCCTCCTGCACAGTCGTGGGGATCGCCCCCATCAGCAGCTCCAGGCACTGATGTGCTGCTCCTGCTGCCAGGCTACCCTACACAAGAAAGAGCCTGCAACTTGTGAAGCCACTCATCCAGAAGTACTTCATCCTCCTCCACGGTGGTTTGAAACGCCCCCAGTTGCTCCCGGCACTGCTGGTTTCGCTGGCAGGTTACCTATAGGAATACAGGCTTCCTTCCTCCTCGCCCCACTCACCCAGCACTGCTTCGTCCTCCTCCAGCGTTGTGGGGAACGCCCCCAGCTGCTCCCGGCACCGCTGCTGCAGCCAGCGCACGGCTCCCAGCTCCTCAGAGGGGACAGCTGGCACGTCGCCATTGGTCCACGTGGGCAGGCAGCGCAGCGCCGCCACGAGCGCCCCGTCCACAAAGGGGTCCGGAGGAGAGTCACCGGCTGGTGGGGGGGCCGAGGAGGGGATGAGAGAAGGGGAGTGAGTGAGGAGTATGGTGGGGGAGATGATTATGGGGGTGGAAGAGGGGGAGCAGGTAACACAGTGCCGGCACCATCGCCCCGTTCACAAAGGGGTCTGGGGGGGAGTCACCGGCTGGTGGGTGGAGGGGGAAAGGGAGCAGAGGGGAAGGGGGGGTGAGGGGGGAGGAGATGGGAGGCATGGAGGAAAGGAAGAGAGGGAGCAGAGACACAAGTGCTGCCAGCAGCGCCCCGCCCATACAGTGGCAGCGCGGAGAGTGAGCAGGTGGTGGGGGGGAAGAGGGAGGAAGCAGAGGGAGGGAAAAGAGTGGGAGATGGTGGAGCATGGCATGGGTTACTTTCTCCGCACTGATCTCCTCTGTTGTCACTTGGAGAAACGAAGGGATTTTTAGTCATGTGAGTGGCATCATGGTATCTTATGTTCTACACACTTACAGTTTCTGTCCCTTGCGGTTGGAATCACATTATAGGCACTTACTGCCATAGTCACATATGGCTACAGCCTTTTACAGGCACAGTCACTTATGGCCGAGAGGAAGCTGCCTCGGAGAATGAGGTGTGGTGTGGCGGCGGGACGAAGTTTATTTAGATGTCTGAAAGGTCAAGTACGCTTCTATTCTAGCCACTCACGGTTGTAGTCATAGTCATCGTCGGTGGCTATGAGGTCAAAGGCGGAGAGGAAGCTGTCCCGGTGAATGTGGTTTGGCGGCGGGGTGAAGGGCGCGGTGGCGGGAGAGGAGGAGGCGAGAGATGGTGCTGCCGCAGGTGTAGCATCGGCGAGCGTTACTTGCTCCCACGGGTTCTGAAACAGGGAAAGGTGATGGGATGATGGCACGAGTGAAGAGGAGAAGTTGGGTGAAAGCAGGGAGAGCAGAAAGTGTATCTCATCGCATGCTCCGAAGGGCTCTGAAGGCGGGAAGATTGATTGGACGGTGGAATGAGAGAAGAGGGGGTGGGCGGAAGGAGAGACAGGAGAGGGTGCATCTGGGGGGCTCCACCTGAAAAGATCAATCACCTTCTCCCAGGGATTCTCAGGGCTGGTAAAAGCAAACGGGGTGGCATGGGTATGGATGCAAAAGGCATGGGTATGGATGCAAAAGGCATGGGTATGGATGCAAAAGGCATGGGTATGGATGCAAAAGGCATGTGTATGGATGCAAAAGGCATGGGTATGGATGCAAAAGGCATGGGTATGGATGCAAAAGGCATGGGTATGGATGCAAAAGGCATGGGTATGGATGCAAAAGGCATGGGTATGGATGCAAAAGGCATGTGTATGGATGCAAAAGGCATGTGTATGGATGCAAAAGGCATGGGTATGGATGCAAAAGGCATGGGTATGGATGCAAAAGGCATGTGTATGGATGCAAAAGGCATGGGTATGGATGCAAAAGGCATGGGTATGGATGCAAAAGGCATGGGTATGGATGCAAAAGGCATGGGTATGGATGCAAAAGGCATGGGTATGGATGCAAAAGGCATGTGTATGGATGCAAAAGGCATGTGTATGGATGCAAAAGGCATGGGTATGGATGCAAAAGGCATGGGTATGGATGCAAAAGGCATGTGTATGGATGCAAAAGGCATGGGTATGGATGCAAAAGGCATGGGTATGGATGCAAAAGGCATGGGTATGGATGCAAAAGGCATGGGTATGGATGCAAAAGGCATGGGTATGGATGCAAAAGGCATGGGTATGGGACGGGACGCACGTGAGTGATGGAGAAGCCGAAAGAGCCCATGAGAGCGCGGTTGTCTGCCTTGGGCATGTACGACATGGTCAGCTGCTCGCACACAAGCAGGCAGGGCAGGCAGGGCGGGCAGGGCGGGCGGACAGGCAGACGGGCAGGTTAAGTGGGCGGGCAGGGGGGCAGGTGGGGCCGAGTGGGCAGGCAGAGGGTGAGGGACGGAGAATGCGGACGGGGGACAGAGACGAAAAGGGACGGATCGGAGGCACAGAGACGCGGGGGTGCATCTGATATTGTGAGGGCACAGCTGGTGTTGTGAGGGCACAGCTGGTGTTGTGAGGGCACAGCTGGTGTTGTGAGGGCACAGCTGGTGTTGTGAGGGCACAGCTGGTGTTGTGAGGGCACAGCTGGTGTTGTGAAGGCACAGCTGGTGTTGTGAGGGCACAGCTGGTGTTGTGAGGGCACAGCTGGTGTTGTGAGGGCACAGCTGGAGTTGTGAGGGCACAGCTGGTGTTGTGAGGGCACAGCTGGTTTTGTGAGGGCACAGCTGGTTTTGTGAGGGCACAGCTGGTGTTGTGAGGGCACAGCTGGAGTTGTGAGGGCACAGCTGGTGTTGTGAGGGCACAGCTGGTGTTGTGAGGGCACAGCTGGGTTTGAAAGGGCACAGCTGGGTTTGTAAGGGCACAGCTGGGTTTGTGCCAGCGCCTCACTGCACCTCACTGCACCTCACAGACTGCCAGCAGTTACCATAATCGCTACACCCACACAACCCATCTCTGTGCCAGCGCACGCACACTGTCCGCCCAACGCATCTCCCTGCCACACATTGACAGCCCCACAGCCCCACACACCCACCTCAGTGCCAGCACGCACGATGTGCCCGGCATCAACCCGCACTTCCATCACGCGGTCGCTCTTGCGCCAGTGCAGCGAGCACAGCGGGCTGAACGAGTGGTTCAACATGTCTGCGCGGCACGGCAGCGCACAGAGAGAGGCAAGAGAGTGGTTTCAGTATGGCGCCACAAAGTGGCATGAGCATCGCAAGTCATCTTGCGCCAGTGCGGCGAGCACAGAGGGCTGAACGAGTGGTCCAACATGTCTATGGGGTAGGGCAGCGTTTGGGCAGCAGCGGGATGTGAGTGAGAGCATCAGCATGAGCAAGGAAAGGGAGGACGGTGGAACCCAGAGGAACAGGAGAGCCGAGCCTACCAGCATAAGGAAGATGCATGTGCGAGTCGGTCTTAACAGTGCTTATGGGTGTGTGTCTGTCTGTCATCCCCCCACTGCTCTGCACCTTTGAGTCAACTCAGCACATTTATCGTACCAGCATAGGGCATCAGCAGCATGTGCGTGTGGGTCCTGACCATGCCCATGGGTGTGTGTCTCACTCAGTGACTCAGCCTCTGCTCTGCACGTCTCAGTTGACCCAACACATGAATGCTACCAGCATAAGGCAGCAGCATGTAAGGCTAGGCTAACAGGGAGGGGGAAGAGGAGAGCCTAGCCCACCAGCATAGGGCAGCAGCATGTGCGTGTCGGTCTTGACAGTGCCCATGGGAGTGTGCCTCACCCCCCCTCGGCTCTGCACTATGCCCACGGCCCACAGCATGTCCGCCTCACTGGGTGCCAGACGCTGCAGCTGATGTGGTGATGAATCGGACTGGTGGGTTGGAGGGGTGGAATGTGGGAGAGAGGGGTGCGTGGGTGAGAGGCTGAGGAGTGAGGGAGTGATATAGGAATGGCAACGCATAAGAGGGTCTGTTCTGTCCAGACAGCTCCACTCTGCTCTGCAAGATGCCCTGCCCACAGCACAGCCCACAGCACAGCCCACAGCACAGCCCACAGCACAGCCCACAGCACAGCCCACAGCACAGCCCACAGCACAGCCCACAGCACAGCCCACAGCACAGCCCACAGCACAGCCCACAGCACAGCCCACAGCACAGCCCACAGCATGTCCGCCTCGCTCGGTGCCAGGCACTGCAGCTGATGGGGTGGTGAATGAGAGTGGTGGGTTGAGGCCATGGTTGGGAAAGGGATACTCGGACGGAAACACACAAGAGGGTCTGTCCGGGACTGCACAGCCCTGCACTATGGCGGCTCTGCACAGCCCTGCACTATGGTGGCTCTGCACAGCCCTGCACTATGGCGGCTCTGCACAGCCCTGCACTATGGTGGCTCTGCACTATGGTGGCTCTGCACAGCCCTGCACTATGGCGGCTCTGCACAGCCCTGCACTATGGCGGCTCTGCACAGCCCTGCACTATGGTGGCTCTGCACTATGGTGGCTCTGCACTATGGTGGCTCTGCACTATGGTGGCTCTGCACTATGGTGGCTCTGCACTATGGTGGCTCTGCACTATGGTGGCTCTGCACTATGGTGGCTCTGCACGACCCCACGGCCCACAGCATGTCCGCCTCACTGGGTGCGTGCGTGCCAGGCGCTGTAGCTGATGGGGTGATGAGTCGCACTGGGGGGTGATGAGTCGCACTGGGGGGTGATGAGTTGCACCAGGGGATGATAGGGTTAGGGAGTGATGGCGTCAGGGATGAGGGGTTGAAGAGTGAGGGGGTCAACGGCCACACCAGCGGTTGCTGCCCTCAATCACCAGCCTCTTTTCTAACGCCACCACCAAGGCCATGCTCGCTTCACTGTGGTACCATAGCCCGGGCCATACCCCCAACTCTACCCCACAGGTATCCCACAAACACTCCCAACATACCCCACATACACTGCCCACACACCCTCCACACACTCTCTAACTGTCCCCCCACTTGGGCTGAGCAAGGGGCGAACACGAACGTGTTCGCCCCTGCACGAACACAGCCGTTCGCCGGACCGAGCAAAAAAGGGTGTTCAGTGTTCGCATGTGAAGGCGTGTTCGGGCGAACCTCGAACACGTTCGTCACGAACACTTTAAGCAAAAAAACGAACCTGTTCAGTCTGCAGGTGTTCGTTTATTTGCTCACCCCTACCCCCCACACACACATACCCTCCACACACTCTCTAACTGTCCCCCCCACACACACATACCCTCCACACACACTCTAACTGTCCCCCACACACACACATACCCTCCACACACTTTCTAACTGCCACCCCCCCCCCCCACACACACACACATACCCGCCAGTGCGCGCGCCAGAACGCCTTGACGCGCTGCTGCTGCTGCCGTGCCTCCTCTGCCAGCCCCTCGTCCTGCAGCGCTGCCAACTCCTCCTGTGCCGCATGGCAGATGCACGTGAGTTGTGAACGCATAGAATATATTTATTGGTTTGTTGTAAGTTATGCAAGCACCCACGCATGCACTTGTGTTTTTCTTTCACTGTCATGGCACAAGACCCAATTGCCTCCTCTGCCAGCCCTTCGCCCTGCAGCGCTGCGAGCTCCTCCTGTGGCCCTCCTGTGGCCCATGCACAAACAGGCAGGTGGTAAGCTGTGGTAGCGCATACAAAGGCAAGCACTGGTTGTTCTTCGTCGCCAGCCAAACAGGCAAGAGATTTTCTCTCAGGAGAGAAGAGGGCATGGGGAGTCGAGCAGTGATGGCAGGGGAATGGCACACTCGGTGATGAGGTGCGGTAACTTGTAGACAGAAATCGAAGAGTAGCTGTGACATGTGAGCTTGCTAGGAGGCCTTGACACGTCAATTGATATCATACCTCTGAGGACATGTGAAGTCGTACCCTACCTCTGAGGACATGTGAAGTGGTACCCTACCTCTGAGGACATGTGAAGTGGTACCCTACCTCTGAGGACATGTGAAGTGGTACCCTACCTCTGAGGACATGTGAAGTGGTACCCTACCTCTGAGGACATGTGAAGTGGTACCCTACCTCTGAGGACATGTGAAGTGGTACCCTACCTCTGAGGACATGTGAAGTGGTACCCTACCTCTGAGGACATGTGAAGTGGTACCCTACCTCTGAGGACATGTGAAGTGGTACCCTACCTCTGAGGACATGTGAAGTGGTACCCTACCTCTGAGGACATGTGAAGTGGTACCCTACCTCTGAGGACATGTGAAGTGGTACCCTACCTCTGAGGACATGTGAAGTGGTACCCTACCTCTGAGGACATGTGAAGTGGTACCCTACCTCTGAGGACATGTGAAGTGGTACCCTACCTCTGAGGACATGTGAAGTGGTACCCTACCTCTGAGGACATGTGAAGTGGTACCCTACCTCTGAGGACATGTGAAGTGGTACCCTACCTCTGAGGACATGTGAAGTGGCACCCTACCTCTGAGGACATGTGAAGTGGTACCCTACCTCTGAGGACATGTGAAGTGGTACCCTACCTCTGAGGACATGTGAAGTGGTACCCTACCTCTGAGGACATGTGAAGTGGTACCCTACCTCTGAGGACATGTGAAGTGGTACCCTACCTCTGAGGACATGTGAAGTGGTACCCTACCTCTGAGGACATGTGAAGTGGTACCCTACCTCTGAGGACATGTGAAGTGGTACCCTACCTCTGAGGACATGTGAAGTGGTACCCTACCTCTGAGGACATGTGAAGTGGCACCCTACCTCTGAGGACATGTGAAGTGGTACCCTACCTCTGAGGACATGTGAAGTGGTACCCTACCTCTGAGGACATGTGAAGTGGTACCCTACCTCTGAGGACATGTGAAGTGGTACCCTACCTGTGAGGAGAGTAGCAGCGAGGGGCAGTCGAGCGGCGAGGGCAGGAAGTCAGCATATTCCGTGAGGAAGTGCGGCCGCTTGGACCCGTATGCATCCTCCCGCCCACGAGAGGCAGGTGAGGAGTTCAGCGCTAGGAGCAGCAGACAGGCCAGTCGGAGGTCCCAGTTGGCCTGAAAAGAGAGGTAAGAGTGTGCGAGAGAGTTAGACGCGGGTGAGGAGTGCTGCGTGGGGAGGAGAAGGCAGGCCAGCCGGAGGTCCGAGCTGGCCTGGGAGGGGAAGAGGGAGAGTGCGGGAGAGAACAACACCATGACAGACTGGGAAAGGGAAAATAGTTTATGAGTGTGGGGCGAGAAGGAGCGGGCAGGCAGGTCAGACACAAGTCCCTGATCACCTGGAAAGACACAAGTCCCTGATCACCTGGGAAGACACAAGTCCCTGATCACCTGGAAAGACACAAGTTCCTGATCACCTGGGAAGACACAAGTCCCTGATCACCTGGAAAGACACAAGTCCCTGATCACCTGGGAAGACACAAGTCCCTGATCACCTGGGAAGACACAAGTCCCTGATCACCTGGAAAGACACAAGTCCCTGATCACCTGGAAAGACACAAGTCCCTGATCACCTGGGAAGACACAAGTCCCTGATCACCTGGGAAGACACAAGTCCCTGATCACCTGGAAAGACACAAGTCCCTGATCACCTGGGAAGACACAAGTCCCTGATCACCTGGAAAGACACAAGTCCCTGATCACCTGGGAAGACACAAGTCCCTGATCACCTGGGAAGACACAAGTCCCTGATCACCTGGAAAGACACAAGTCCCTGATCACCTGGGAAGACACAAGTCCCTGATCACCTGGGAAGACACAAGTCCCTGATCACCTGGGAAGACACAAGTCCCTGATCACCTGGAAAGACACAAGTCCCTGATCACCTGGAAAGACACAAGTCCCTGATCACCTGGGAAGACACAAGTCCCTGATCACCTGGGAAGACACAAGTCCCTGATCACCTGGAAAGACACAAGTCCCTGATCACCTGGGAAGACACAAGTCCCTGATCACCTGGGAAGACACAAGTCCCTGATCACCTGGAAAGACACAAGTCCCTGATCACCTGGAAAGACACAAGTCCCTGATCACCTGGAAAGACACAAGTCCCTGATCACCTGGAAAGACACAAGTCCCTGATCACCTGGGAAGACACAAGTCCCTGATCACCTGGGAAGACGCCACTTTACACCCCCTTGCCTGCCTCGCCTCGTCGGGCCAGGCCAGGTCAAGTCCGGTCGATCCAGTAGGGTCAGGTCGGTTTGGGACGGTTCGGACCAGGACGGGTCAGATGGGGTCGGGTCAGGTCACTCATCCGTCACCAGGTGCCAGGCAAGCCAATGGCAGCATGGCATTCAACAAGTTGACTTCTCAACTCCCCCTCGGCAGCGGCAATAACGTCACACACAGGGTGTTCCATTACTGCCCGGGTGGATCATCCAATCCGAGGGGGGTCTCTCGACTCCACACGCTAAAAACGCGTTTTTTAGAATTCTCAGAAAACGCGCTCAGCATGAGCGGCAGACTGGGAAGAAGAAAGGCACCAGCCCCCAAGCCCCCCCCCCCCCCCCCCCCCCCCCCCCCCACTCCTTTCTCCCCCAACACCCCCACCATCCCCATGACCACCACCACAACCTCACATCAATCCCATTCACCTCACACCACCACCACCCCACTTATCTCACCTCCCCCTCGGCGGCGGAGATCACATCAAACACAGGGTGCCCCATGGGGACAATGTCCGGGTGGAACATCCAGGGGGGGTCCCTGGAGACGCTCAGCATGAGCGGCAGCGGCACCTCCATCACCACGCGCGCGCCCCCCCGGCTGTCAATGTCCCGCGCCGCGTACACCCCCACGCCCGCCAGGTCGCCCTCCCCCTGCAATCCATGCGCGGGCTCGCGGAACTCCACCCCGTACGCGCCCATGCCGCGGCGGTTGCCCATGTAGTAGAAGTAGGGCTCCAGGGAGACTCGCTGGGGGGAGGGATGCGGGAGGGGGTGGGGGTGGGGAGGTGCAGGGCGGAGGGAGAGGGGGAGGGAGAGCGGAGGAGCAGAAGGGAGTGGGGATGTTGAGGGTTGCCCACGTAGTGACAATACGGCTCCAGGGAGACGCGCAGGTGACCGTAGAGGGGGGAAGGGAGGGAAGAGAGAATGGGGCATAAATGGAAAGTATATCGGAGAGGGGAGAGGGGAGAGCGGAGAGGGGAGAGGGGAGAGCGGAGAGGGGAGGGGGGAGGAGGGAGGGGAGAGGGGAGAGGGGAGAGGGGAGTGGGGAGGGGAGGGGGAGGAAATGGGGGCGGAGTGGTAGGGGAAGAGGTGTTGAGGAGGAAAAGGTGCGCCACTCAGTTTTGACTTTTTAGGCGCCTCAAAAGGAGGATGTGGTGCGCCGCTCAGTATTGCTGCCAAGCGCGCCGAGCGAGCACGGAAGACATGGTGTGGCGATAAATCGGCGTTTGGAGCTGCGACCGAAAATATTCGCCGCAATGTGTCGCACGGTTACCTCATCTGATGAGCTGGTGGAAGGAGGCAGGAAATTGGCGGGAGCGGCGGAGTCGGCGACGCGTGCGACGGTTTGAAAGCCTTTCGCGAAACCCTTTCGCAAAGGTACCGTCGCGTGCGAAAAACAATGCGGCAATCGCAGTAGATCGTGTGGTGAGAGTACTCGGATCGGCCGTGCGTGCAGCGAGGAACCGAGCGAGGCCATGGCGATAATCTCGAGGATGATGGGAGAGCGCAGCAACGGACGACTACAGCTGCGATGAAAGATGTCGATACGCAATAAGCGAGACGCGGTATACTTTTCAAAGGGAACCACTGTCTGGCAGATTTTAACCTATCTAGCTTGTTTAATGTTTATTCTGACATATTCAAATACCTAAATTCGTACAAAATATAAAAGCTTTTGATTTCTAAGGTGACAGGCCTCCACAAAAGAAAAAACAACGGGTCCCAGCATGAATCCTTAGGATTTACCATAAAATATGCTCTTAGGAAATTGTGTTGTTTCGAGACGAGGAACAATAGTAAGTTAGCACATACTATTCATAAACACTGGCAGGGCCCAAAATTGGTTTTGGCCCACCCTGACAAATCAGGGTTCCAGGCCTGCTGTACCCTGACCCCTAGGATAATGTTTTTCCTACCCTTGCTGGAAACAGTGTAAACAGGCCTAAAATCTTCCATATGGTACACTGGTTTTGTCAGTGTAAGTTTTCAGTTAGGATGTTTACACTGCAGTTTTGCAGTTTTGCTCAAACAATGGCAAAGATGCAGGCTGCCGACAATATTTATTGGATTTGCGCTTGTGGTCAATAGCGAAAAGAGTGGTGGTGGGACCGTGGCAAAATCTGTCAGGACGTTATGTGTGGACGGATCCTCGGTAAAAGGGTTCCGGTATCAATGTAATGTGTCAGAATATTATGCTCTAGCCTGTAGTGGGGTGCTCTATAGCGAGTACAACCCTTCTAGGGTTTGCCATTTGTATCCTCATTCTTGCTAGTGCAACTCCTTCCTCTTTGCCTAAACTGTTTCTTGCCTAGCTAGGGCTTTCCTAGCTATGGCGCCTTCTTCTACTGCTTATCTTCACATGGTATTAGAGCGATATGCTTCTGGCCTGTGGGCCCCACCTCACTGCTTCCGCTGCTACTGCTACTCCCTGTCCGTCGCGCGCCCCGTGGTGCGCGGCGTCGAAATTAGGGTTTTTCAGCCCGCCGTGCGCCCCGAGGCGCGCGGCGGTTTTCTGCCCGCCGTGCGCCCCGAGGCGCGCGGCGGTTTTCTGCCCGCCGTGCGCCCCGAGGCGCGCGACGGGTTTCTGCCCCGTCACTCGGCGCGTCGCCCCCAGGAGGCGCTACGACGGGCGACGGGGACCCGCGCGTCGCCCCCCGTCGCCCGTCGTGGCCTGCGCGCGGCCCGTACAGCCGGCGCGCGGCCCGTACGGGCTGCGCCAGGCCCGCGCGCGGCCCGTACGGGCTGCGCCAGGCCCGCGCGCGGCCCGTACGGACTGCGCCAGGCCCGCGCGCGGCTCGGGCCGCCTGCGCGCGGTTCGGGAGGCTGTGCCAGGCCCGTGGGCGGCCCGTTCTTCGCTGCCCCTGTCCTCCCCGCCGTCCCCCGTGCTTCTGAAGGCGCCCCACCCCTCCTTCTGCCCGTTCTCCTGGATTAGGGTTTGGGGGTGGGGGGTATGGGGGTGCAGCTTCTGTGTGCCGTTCCCTGCTCCTCCTCCTCCTCCGTCTCCCTGTGCTGCAGCTGCCGCTGAAGGGGGGTGGACCTGTTGGAGCCGTCGGAGTGGTACTAAGGGGGGGTGAAGGGGGAGTGGAGCTAGGGGTGAAGCAGGGGGTGTGTGTCAGGGGGGGTGGTACTGTTTGGGGGAGGTTGAACGGAGGTTGCCGTCGTGTCGCCAGCAGCACCTGTAGTCCGGGGAGTTGCTCCGGTAGCCCAGTCGTAGCCACCTGTGCCAGTCGCCCGTGGGTCCGTTGCTCGTCTGCCGCTACTTTTAGCCGCGGGGCCAGTTACTCCAGTAGTCCGGAGCGCTGTTCCGGTAGCCGCTGTGCCAGTGTGCCTCCTGTTGCCCGTGTGTCTGCAGCTTCAGCCGTCGCCTCCTATCTCCTCTCCTCTCACTGTCCCTCCTCCTCCTCACTTGCCCGTTGTGACTACCACTAGCTTTGCTCATAATTGTGAACTTTAAACTATTGCTTCCTGAACTTGTGCTCAGAATGTGTGGTGACATTGTGATCCACCCTGAGCTTGTTCTGCTTTGCTTGCTCTGCTGATTACACCCCACTTTGGCTATGGGGGTGTGTCAGAATATTATGCTCTAGCCTGTAGTGGGGTGCTCTATAGCGACTACAACCCTTCTAGGGTTTGCCATTTGTATCCTCATTCTTGCTAGTGCAACTCCTTCCTCTTTGCCTAAACTGTTTCTTGCCTAGCTAGGGCTTTCCTAGCTATGGCGCCTTCTTCTACTGCTTATCTTCACATAATGCTCAGCAAACCCTGTACAGTCAGGGTACGGTAATAGAAATCAGTATCAGGGTAACACAAAAAGTATCATTTTTGCTTCATGGTAAAATTTTCATTACACAGATTTTGCAAGGGTAACTGAGAAAAAGCGGCAGCTTATCAGGGCAAAAAGGGTATTTTACCCTGATCTTTTGGGCCCACCGCAGTCAGACCTATTTTTTCGTATTCATCTGATTTTTAAGGCAGCGATTTATATCTTATCTGATCACTTAGACAAACAAGTATGGTTCATATGATTTTCCAGACCAGACCGTCAAATGTTTAAATATTTTAGAGTACAACATTTCCTAGGTTAATTCTTCGTATCCCCTTGCCTTCATTCACTCGACACCATCCTTTCGACGCTACTTGCTACCTTACTTTAAGATGACATCAGAGCAGGTAAAATTTCCTACGTCCCACGCTTCCGCTCCATCCCTTAGCTGCTCCCGAGGCGCCCGTCCCTTAGGCCCCGTTTCGTCGCGGGTCGGACGGCCCCCGCAGGCCTCAATCGCGTTCAAAGGCCCACGCGGGCTCGTTTTGTCGCATTCAAAGGCCCCCGCGGGCTCGTTTAGTCGCGTTCAAGCCCCCCCCCCCACCCGCAGGCCCTCGTTTCGTCGCGTTCCAGAAGGCCGCTTCCCCCTACCCCTCCCCTCCCCCCCCCCCCCCCCCCCCCCTTCCCCCCCCCCGCCCCCATCCCGCGCGGGCCCGCGTAGTCGCGCTTAGCCTGCAACATCACACGAAGCACGCGCATTAGCCAACGGTAGCCGCCTATGCACGCAGCTAGCCGCCAGCAGCAGCAGAGCTGAGAACAGCCAACCACAGGCAGGTAGAGCCAGCACGCTAGCTGCCATCAACTACGCTAGCCGCCACCAGCACGCTAGCTGCCATCAACTACGCTAGCCGCCACCAGCAGCTGCTCCTAACTCCAGCCGCTCCTAGCTGTTACTATGGAGTCCTTTCGCCACCTACGTTTCGATTCGGAGGGCCATCATACGTGGATCCACCAGGCTCAGCGCCACCTTACTTGTCAGCGCTAGGACGGTGCCACCTTGTACGGCCATGCGTCTGGCGCATTCCGGGCCCCTACACGCCCCGACCCCCTGCCTATTGAGCCCGCTCCCATTGCGACGGACTAGGTGGACTACGACTGACTATTCCTGGCACGTGGAGTCTGGGACTCTCGGGACGCAGTGGCTGCACTTGCGCTGACAGACCTTCTCCCACCGAGTGAGGCTGCTCACTTCTCTCAGGTCGTGACTACGAAAAGGTGTTATGATGCTATACTTGCTCGTTATTCCACCTCTTCAATTGCCTCCCTCAGCCGCCTCCTCATGTCGATCGTGTTTCCTGACCTTGGGTCGTTTGCGGCTGTCTCCGGCCTTGCCACCCACCTACGTTCCCTCGCACTAGCTGCCATGCAGCCTGTACCGACGCTCAGGTTAACCTCACCCTCCCTCCTATATGGCTCACCATTTACTAGTTAGTCACCCGCCTCCCTGACCGCCTCTCCTCTTCCCGTGACGCGCTTCTTCAGAAGCACCCCTGTGAGCTTACGATCGATCTTCTTCAGAGCACTCTCTCGAAGATCGAAAGCAACCTCCTTTCAGTTTCCTCTGCCACTAACACAGTAGCTGCCCGTCTCTTTGAGGGGTGTGTTGTACGTCAACTTCCCACCTTCACTACTACTCGTGCCACTGCTGCGGTGTCTGTCTCTAAGAAGAATGCGGTTGTTTCTACCGCTGGTGGGCAGAAACGAGGCAAGGGAGGCAAGAAAAGGGGGATAGGTGGTGGCGGTACTAGAGGTGGCGGAAGTGGAGCCAGGAGTGGCAGTGGTGGCGGCGGCGGAGGAGGAGGCGCTGGAGGAGGTAATGGACCGGCGGGCCCACCGGTTGGAGGTGTTGCCCCTAGCGGTGGTGAGGGAGGGCAGCAGCAGCAATCACAGTAGTAGAAGCCACATCAGGAACAGCAGTAGCAGCAGTAGGGTCAGCACAAACAGCAAGTGCCGAGCAGGTTCCGTAGTGGGGACCCCCGCAGCAGTGGGCTTCGTAGCAGCACTGGGGCCCCCCGCAGCAGTGGGGACCTGGAGGACCGGGGAGCACTGGCAACAAAGGCAACACTACTAGTTGGTCCCCCCACCCCCCTGGACACGACTCCGGCCTCTA